TGATAAAGTGGATAATTATAGCAAAGGTCATTGGTAAATATAGGTGTTGGAGTTGGAGCTACAATTGGAGGAGTTTGACATTACCTTCTGATCTACTTGTGAGGTGAGTTATCCTTGCTATATCAATGGGGTCTAAAGCACCAAGGCTGACCCTTTTATGTGTTTATATCTGGTTTATGGTATGATATGTTTATTGATTACATCCTGGTAGTTAGATGGTGATATGCTTATGCTTAATGACCTGATTAGGTCGGTGTCCTGGTTATAGAATGATGCTATGTTAGTGACCGGTTAGCTTTGTATCCCGATTATTGGGATGTTGCTATGATTAGTGATATGTTAGATCGGTTTGACTATTGTATGATATGAGCTAGCGTATAATATTTATGTGCATATGTTTTTTGGTTGGAGGTTGGGTTCAGGCGATCCTGCTTTGTGCTGTAGGCCAACATACCCGATGACTGGTCCAGATAGGCTGTAGGCCCTGCGAGGTGGTCTAGTCATGTCGAAGGCTCGGGAGCGGTCCAGATAGACTGTAGGCCCGGCGAGGCGGTCCAGTCATGCTGAAGGCTCATTATGCATGTTGTTTTGTATTGTTTATATGTTATGATTATATAGGTATGACATTGGTATTTTGGGGTAGCTCACTAAGCTTTTAGGCTTACAGTTTTCGTTTCTTGTTCTAGGTACTTCTGGTAATCGAGGGAAGGCAAAGGCTTGATCGTACCGCTCCTCCTGCTGTTATGATTTTTATAAATTGATACAGGGATACTCTGATAATTATTATTTTGATAACAAACTATGTAATGATTGAATGGTATTAAAGTGTTTTGGAAAAGTCTAAAATTTGCTTAAATTTTATGGGTGTTACAATTTATCCAAATTAAAATGATTTAATTATAATCTTTAATTTAGGAGAGTATTTTAGTAACACCATATAGAATTTTGAATTCTATTTTTTTTAAAATATTAAGTTAGTTTAGTTCTAACTAAAATATGAGATTGTATATAAATATGAATTTTATTGATTTAGGATGATTTGCAACTTTTTACAAAATTCGGTTAAAGGATGTTTTAATATAAAATTAGAAGAAAGTTTTACATAGACGTAGTAGATAAACGAGCAACAAGTTGTCCCACAACCCCTTTTTGGATGGAAAAACTAATTCTTTTAAAAATAACATCTATAGATCTTGGGGTCATAACATTACTATGCATGACCCATTGGAATCTATTGAGGAGCTCCACAGCTTTTGTCGCAAGGAAACCGAAAGTATCAAATGCAAAAGGTATAAAAATGTGTTGATTTTCCATGCATGCTTTCTCATGTTTTGCCACTTTGCATGATACAACTTTTAAAGCAGCATGCCCCACAGTGAAAATCCCACTCCCCAAGCCCACAAGAGGGGACACCCCCTTTAGATTCACACATGCATGCTTCCCACCAACCCATCCAAATACTAAAACATTAGTTGGTCTAAGTGTTGATCTTCCTTCCAGTGGTATAGTAAGAAAGTTCACATGTGCCTCTTCTTGGCAAAAATCCCAGCGCGCCTAAATATGTTGTAAAGAACATCCCTAACCAAATCGTGTCAGTACTTGAAACCCGAGAGCTCTTTACAATGAGCTGCATGCACCCTAAAGGAGTCCAAAAAATGCCTTGCAACAAACAGGGCAAGGCTCATAAGCTGGAAATAAAGGTATCATAAAGGCGATACTTGAGGATGATACAATACTCCACTGGAAACATAGCTGGCCAAGACCGTTAATAGGAATAGTCATAAGAAAATCCTGAGCATGCGGGGCCCTTAGACACTCAAAAAATTGATTTCTGCCTAATCATCATGTCAAAGTGAACTTCCATGTATTGGATAATTTTACTAAAAAGGGGACTCGCCAATGAATGTTGGGCTTTTGGAGGGGCGGTGTCCTTATTAGTGAAACCTCTGAAGTCAAAGCTCAGAATCATATCATGAAGACATGCCAAAGCACAAATATAATTTGAATCCATACCACATATGGTGCTATTTCATAAGATGTGGTCTTGTAACAACCACGATTGAGCTCATGAAGCCACAAAAGCATAAGAGGAAACTTCTACCGCTGAGTACAACCCCAAACCACCACACCTAAATGGTAACGAAGCTAGTCACCATTGAAGGTCCTCAAAGAACGGACCCCCACAAACCACAATGTCCTCAATCGACCCACGTAATCCTTTATCAAAACACAAAGCAGCTTCTTCCACGTGAACGGGTTGGCACATCCTTAGGCCAAAGAAAAGTTTGGCGATACCTATGTAAGATCGAAGCAAAAGGAGCTCACTCTGGGGGATCATGTTGCTGTGGTATAAGGTGCATCAAATCAATAGCCTTGGCAGCCCTCTTCATGGCTAACCCGCTAATAAAACTCGGATCTCTACTAGCAGCTCCCCCAAGAAGCTTCACACCCAATAACGTTCGCTTAATGTCAGTAGGGAATAAGCTTGTACGCAACTTCCTACCATCGTATGAAGGCCAAAATAGCCCAATTTTCTTGATATTCAACTCAAGACCCAATCATGGGCCTGACACCATAATAATGTCCAATACTCTTGCCACATCCTTTGAATCTCCAATGACGATCCCATCATCAAGGTACCAAGCATGAAGAAGAAGCTTGCAATATTTCTAATTTGATATATAAGTGGGTGCAATACAAGAGCAAAAAGAAGTGGTCCTAAAGGGTCACCTTCTGGACTGCAGTAGTGGATCAAACATGCTTATCTCCTAAATACAACCTTGCTGCATGTCTATAAGAATTCGACCCATAAGGAATTGGAAGTGCACCTCATCCTAAACTTGTGAAGTAAGGCAGATCTATCCACTAAATTGAAGGCATTCAAGAAACCCAAAGTAAGCATTGCAAGAGATCCATCATCATGACGTACACTCAACACCTTATTAACACTATGAAGTACAACTTCAACAACCTCTTAAACCAAACGCCTCCATATAATGCCCATAATAATAGGACAAATTTTATTGCGAGGTTTTAGGAGCAGAGTAAGAGGTGCAGACGCTACACATTCTGCCAAATATGACAGACATCTTCCTCCTAGCCATAGATTAACCACTGCTGTAATGGCATGTAAGAGATTGATGGCTATAACAGACCCATCCCCACATAGAGCATCCAAAATGTGTTGAGATCTCAAATCGTCTCTTCCACACAAAGTTCCTTTAGAAAATGATTTAATATAACCAAGGACATTATCAATATCTACTATAAGGGGAGGCTCATAATAAGTGGTGCTCGGTATGGATGGGGGTGGCTTGTATGGATGCTTAGCCTCTAAAGCTTTGATAGTGTCACTATCATGTGAAGCAACACCCGATGAGCACAACACTTTTCACTGTTGTTGTAAAATGCCCATCAGCAACCTTATAGAGACATTATCTAACGTTGGTGTTGCCCTTTGTTTTTCCCTCCTGAAAGTGATATGCTCCTTGGCCCAATGATCCAAGACCTGAATTGTCAAACATATTTTTAACTAATGTGACAAGACAATCTTTTTCCCCCATGTAGCTAAAGAGGTCAATATACAACAATTTTGTAATGATTTCATGTTCCCAGACCTACCTTCTTATATGTTCTTAGGCATGAACACTTTCAAAGTACATCGGGGAAGAAGTAATAGCCTAACCCATGATTCAATAGATTTGGGGTAAGCGACCACCTTGTTAAGAGCTATTTGTAATGCTTGAGAGAAAGCCATACGACAACTATGATGGAGAATTTTGACGATCGTGATAGACGCCTAGAAAACACGATCAAGCAGCCCATCATCCAAAGCCAACCCTTCAAGTACTACAGTTTCATGCCTTATGAAAGCCGACTTTGAAATGTCAATAATGTGTCCACTCATGTCATTGAACCCACCAGTAAATTGTGCAAGACCATCAGGGTGGTGGCAAAAGTGATTCAATGCATGATTACTCATACAATTAGCGCATATCCATTGACTAAATGCCTTTAATGTTTCTTCTACATCCATATACAATCCATGGTCCCCCAAAATAGCTTCCCACAACACATTTTTACGTTCATCAGACACAAGGGGCAACCTCTTAATATGAAATATCAAATGGAAAATCCATTAGACCATGCCTGACCATCCGAGCAACAATGAAACCCTCGAAAATGACATGGCCAAATACCGATCGAAGAAGTAGAAGAAGAAACCATGAAAATAAAAGATAAGCAAATTAAGCCTCAAGTTAAAGCCCTAAAGAAGATGTTGAAACCCTAAGATGGAAACACCACAGCCAAAAGTTGGCGTGCACCAAATGAAGAAATCACTGAGAAGAAACACTACATTTCCTTGAAAGCAAGGGAGATGGGCTCACTATCAATCTTGATTCCAAATCTGGGGGATAAATAGACTTCAATAACTTTGTACAATAAAAATCAAGGTTTTGCGTGAGATGTAAAATAAAACAGCTTGAATTGAGTTAAAAAATATGGTTGTAATATTTGAAAATTTCACTGTCATTTTATTGAACACTTGGTGGGTAGTGAAGTTGGCATCTGATTTCAACTCGTAGGAGGCTTGTTTGAAACACATCATTTGCAAACAATCTACTATAATAAATGAAAGTTTTTTTTTGTCAAATGCCACCCTCTCATTCAATTTGTCAAATGTCATTTTGTGGTTATTTTGAATTAATTTTTTCTACATGTCGTTTTATGAGTTTTTCTATTTTATAAAATTCCACTTAATATAATATGCAATAAATGGATATCAATTTTATTAATAAACTTACTTTTTAATTTCAAAAATTTCAAATTAAAGCTCATTAGTTTTTTTTGTTTATTTAGTGATTGGGTATATTTGACATTTTTGTCTGAAGAAGTCTACGCCAGGTTCAAAAAATGTAATGGTATTAAGGCCTATTTTTCTTTGTTTAGGCCTGTTGTAAATGGGTTTTTTTGTTAAGGAAAGAGTTGTGTGGATTGAGATGATTGGGTTGCCTTGTTGTGCATGGAATGATGATGTCGTTTCTAAGGTAGCTAGGATGTGGGGTGATGTATGTTTTCTAGATGATGATGTGGATGCTCCATTGGCAATCAAGAGGGCGTGTATTAAGACTTCTAAGCTGGATTTGATTCATGAGACAGTTAAATTGGTTGCCCAAGGTATTGAGTATGATGTGGTAGTTCGTGAAATTTCAAATTGGGGATCAAATATATTGGAAGAGTGGGAGGTGGGCTTGGATATTCCAGACTTGTCAGATGAAGAGGAACCCAAGGATTTTTTTGGTGAAGATACGTGTGATATACAAAAAAATTGTCAGGAGGGTAACAGTAATGAGGAGGTAGCAGATTCTCTCAATGTAGATAACACTCCATATTTAGGTGATCGAGGAGCTGGTTTTGTAGATAGAAAAGGTCGTTTCTTTCAAACTAGTGGAAGGAAGAAGAAGGCCTTAGAATCTTTATCTCAATCTCCAACTGATGAGGAAATCCGTCAGGGTGGAGTAGTGGGGGGTGAGGCCTCAGAATCTTTATCTCAATCTCCAAGGTTCCAGCATGAGAAGTTACACGAGAATTTTAATCTTAATGCCTCGGCGTTGAGATCCTCTGGTTCACATGGTTCTTCTAAGTTGCTAAATAAAAAAGTTCCAGTGGGTGTATAAGATATTGAGGATGTCTTGAAACAATATTTTTAAATGGGTGATCTTCTTGGGGATGATATGAAATCTCATAAGGATAAGGTTTCTAAAATCTTGTCTAGCATTGGTATGGTACAAGTGGATAGATGAATTGTCTATCTTTGAATATTTTTGGTACTCGAACTTCTTTTAAAAGAAGTTGGGTTCTTCATTGTGTATCCAGAATGGGGTGTCATTTCTAGGGTTGCAAGAGACTAGAATGACAAAAATTAACTTGTTCAAAGTTAGGAGTATGTGGGGTAATCCTTGTTTTGATTTTGCGTGTAGTTGCGCTCGGGGTCTTTCAGGGGGTATTCTTTCTGTTTGGGACCCTAATGTGTTTGTGAAAGGCAGTGTTCATTGTATGGATAATGTGGTTATTTTTGGAGGAGTTTGGGTTCCTTTTAGTTTTCCTTGTTACATGGTTAATATTTATGCTCCTCAAGGTATCCAAGAGAAATTTGACCTGTGGCAATATCTTATGGATTTTAAAAGGAGGAATGGGGGGAATTACATGTGTTTTGGAGACTTTAATGTTGTGAGGGAGGTGTATGATAGAATGGGATTGATTTTTTGTTCTAGTTCGGCTTCTGATTTTAATGATTTTATTGATGATATGGGTCTCATTGACGTGCCTATGATTAGGAAACGGTTTACTAGAATTGATGCTAGTGGTTCCAAGTTAAGTAAACTGGATAGGTTTCTAGTGGATGAAGTTTTTTATGATAGATTTGAAAATCTTCAAATTTCGATTCTTGATAGAAGGTGGTCTGATCATTGCCCTATTTTCTTGCATGTGTCTTTGGTGGATTATGGTCCTTTTTCTTTTAAATTCTTCAACTCTTGGTTAGATCTTGATGGATTTAATGATATGGTGAAAGATGCTATCAAGGAGTTAGTGGTTGAAAGGTCTTGGAGTAAGTTTGTTGTGTTCAAAATAAACTTAAATTCTTGAAAGACCGGATAAAAAATGGGTTGTTGGTAGGGGTGTAAGTGAGCCGAGCTACTCGTGAGCTACTCGGGATCGACTCGTTAAAAGCTCGACTCGAGATCGAATTAAACGAGCCCGAGCCGAGCTCGAGCCTAAATATGAGGCTCGTTTATTAAATGAGCTCGAGCCGAGCTTCAATTAATGGGCTCGCGAGCCTAAACGAGCTTAAACGAGCCTCTATATATATATACACACACATACATATACACACACACACACACATATATATATATATATATATACACACACACACACACACATAGAGGCTCGTTTAGGCTCGATTAGGCTCACGAGCCCAATAAATTGTTCATGAGCCGAGCTCGAGCTTCATTTTAAGGCTCGAATCGAGCTCGAGCTCGAGCTTCCTCAAATTAAACGAGCTGAGCTCGAGCTTTGTCAGGCTCGGGCTCGGCTCGGCTCGTTTACACCCCTAGTTGTTGGTTATAAGGAGGAATCTAGAGCTTTTAGTTACCGTCCATTATCTAGATTGGTTGATATTGATAAGATCTTCGATGATGGTGGTCCGATTGATGATTTGGCTTGTGAGAGAAGGGCTATACTTGGTGAATTGGCTTCCTTAGAAAAGTTTCGGCCTCTTAACTCAACCCAAAAAGCTCGATTTAAATGGGCTATCGAGGGGGACGAGAACTCAACTTTTTTTTTATGCCATGTTAAAGCAGCAAAGACGTTAGAGACTTATTAGAGGCATATCTATTGACGGGGAGTGGGTTGCAGATCCCCCTCTTGTTAAAAAAGCCTTTTATGATTTTTATGCTTCTAAATTCCAAACGTTTAAGGGAGTTCCGATGGGTCGTAAGAGTGATAGATTCAGATCTCTTGATCCGGACATGGCTAATTCACTTGAGTCTGTGTTTTCTACTGAAGAGATCAAGAAGACGGTCTGGGATTGTGGGCTAGACTGGGCACCGGGTCCAGATGGATTCTCTTTTCGGTTTCTCAAACATTTTTGGGAGTTTTTGGGTGATGATGTGGTAGCTTTTGTGCAGGAATTTAGTGTCAATCCTAGGTTTCCCATTCGGTGTAATTCTTCTTTTATTACATTGATTCCTAAGATTGACAATCCTATTCGTATCAACGATTATCGGCCTATTAGTCTCATTGGCTTGTAGTTTAAGATTATTGCTAAATTGTTGGCTAATAGGTTAGCTTCGGTCTTGCGTGATGTTATTGGGTTGGAGCAATCTGCTTTTCTCAAATCCAAGCAAATTCTTGATGGTCCTCTTCTTGTGAATGAAATGGTTCGGTGGTTCAAACACAAGAAGAAGAAATTGATGAATTTAAAGTCAACTTTGAAAAAGCGTACAATTCAGTCAGTTAGGATTATATTGATAGGATTATGCTGTTTCTTGGTTTTGGGGAAAATGGAGGGCTTGGATTAGGGGGATGTTTTCTAATGCCCGTTCCTCAGTGCTTTTGAATGGTTTCCATATGGATGAGTTTCAGTTGTTTAGAGGGTTGAGACAAGGTGACCCATTGTCGCCTTTTCTCTTCATTATTGCTATGGAGGGTCTTCATATTGCTATGGAGGATGCGGTGTCGTAAGGTGTGTTTAAGGGGGCTCAACTTGAGTCACATGATTTAGCTATCTCTCATTTGTTTTATGCAAATGATGCTATTTTCCTTGGAGAATGGAATGAGAATAATGTCTGAAATTTGATTCGGGTGTTGAGATGTTTTTATTTAGTCTCGGGTCTAAATCTCAATCTTTCTAAGTCTAGTTTATATGGTGTGGGGGTTAGTAGGTCTGAAATCTCCAACCTCGCTTCTTTTACAGGCTACTCGACTGGTTCTTATCCATTTGTGTATCTTGGTGTTCCGGTTGGTGAATCTAGGGTGTGTGTTAAAGGTTGGCAAATAATTATAGATCGTTTCAAAAAAAGATTGGGATCTTGGAAAGCTAGATTGTTGTCTATTGGAGGTCGTTTAACTCTTGTTAAGTCAGTTCTGGGTAGCCTTGGTATTTATTACTTATCTAATTTTAGGCCTCCTGTTGCTGTCTTGCAGGCTTTAGAGAATATGAGGGCTCGTTTTTTTTGGGGAATGGAAGAGGGTCAAAAACGTATTCATTAGGTTAAGTGGAATTTGGCGTTAAACTCTTTTGCCAGGGTGGTCTGGGTATTGGTAGTTTAGATGCTTTTAACCTGGGTCTTTTATATAAATGGAAATGGAGATTCTTTAATGAGCCTGACGCCTTATGGGTGAAAGTTCTGAAGTTTTTTTTATAGTGAATGGGGAGGTTTTTCTGGGGGCTCGAGAATACAAAGTGGTGGTGGTGTTTGGAAAAAAATAGTTGGGTCTATTAACCATATTCATGAGAGTGGTTTACTACCCTCGAAGGCCATGGCTAGAGTGACTGGGAATGGAGATACTATTCGGTTTTGGCACGATGTTTGGTGCTTAGATGTTCCTATGATGGTGCAATTCGGAAGATTGTTTGCGCTTGCTTTTAATCAAAACTCTTTAGTTCGTGATTATTGGTCTCCGACGGGTTGGGTTTTTGCTTGGCGTCGTGACATTAGAGGAGGGGTTGAACAAGAGCAGCTTACGACTTTGATGTCTTTGTTGGATGGCTATCATCTTGGCATGGAGTTAGACAAATGGGTTTGGAATCTTGATATTTCAGGGTGCTTTTCGGTTAAATTGACTAGGAATTGGATCGATGATTCGAGACTTCCGTCGGGTTCCATGCCTACTAGATGGAATTGTTCAGTTCCTATTAAAATAAATGTTTTTATTTGGCGTTTAATTATAGATAGACTTCCTATGAGGTCGAAGTTGGTCGAGAGAGGGGTTGATCTTGACTCGGTTTTGTGCCCTTTGTGTCACGATGCTACTGAAGACGTGTTGCACATGTTTATCCAGTGCACCATTGCAAATCAGATTTGGAGGCGGGTTAGTCTTTGGCTTGATTTGGATATCCTTGTTTTTTTCTCTATGAGAGACATGACGGACTGGATCGATGCGAGGCCGAATGTTAGGCAACAACGGGCGATTATTGACATAGTTTTTTCTGTGGTCATTTGGGTGCTTTGGACGTTCCGTAACGGTATTTTGTTTAGTAGTAATAAGCCTAGAAATGATAGGATTTTTGATTCCATTATCGATATTTCGTTTCGTTGGTTTTCATCCCGTAACTTTAAGGCTAGGATTAATTGGAGTATGTGGCTTCAAAATCCCAACTAGTCTTAATGGTCTGTATTTCTAGCGCCTTGCTTGTTTTCTTTTAATTTTATTGGTTGCTGCCGTTCAATTTTTTTTTAAAAGATAACAAACATTTCAATTATAATAATTCATTATTTTTTGAGTAAATTACACGAATGTTCCTTATGATTTAGGGTACTTTGCGCGTTTTGTCTCTAATTTTTTTTTCTAACTCGGAAGGTCCTTATTGTTTGTTTTTGTTACCTAAAAAAACTATTTTGCCATTGATTTTTTAACTTATTTAAATAAATACACCCCAACCCCACCCCACCCCTCTCACCTTACCTTACCTACCCCACCATTATTACTATTTAAATAATAGACTTTTTAGGTAATACAAGGATCAAACGCGTAACAAAAACAAACATGAGAGACCTTCCGAATTAAAAAAAATAAGTTAATGACCAAACGTGCAAATTATCGTAAACCATAGGGATCATTCGTGTAATTTACTCTTATTTTTTTTTCTTATAAATTCAAAGTTCTTAAATATTTTGATATTATATTTAACTTCTATTTTTTTTAAAAAAATTAATCTATATGAAACATGAGTCTCATAACTAATAAACAATACACTAATTTGTTGATAAAACAGACAAATGAACAAATATGTAGATGAAATGACCAGCCTTTATGTGAATTAAATCAGGGGAATTAGGGTAGAAGAAGACAATGACAATACAAAATGGATCTGCTATTGTTAATTTTTCTGGAATGCCAATTTGCAATTGCTCTCGAAATGCGAAAGTTGGAACGATAATATCAGTTCCCGTGATGCAGCGATTAACAAATTTCTAAGGTAAACTAAGGTTAACAGCCAATTCTAAAGATAAGCAATTTTAAGTCTAAAATTTATAAAGATACAAAAGTAATAATTTAAGTTTATAAAAACGTAAATGAAATTCAGTCAAAAATTATGTTTTTTTATATTGTTAACTCAAAAAGTTATCCTTCTTAAGAGATCCAAGTATCCAACACGTCGATAAGATGTCAAAAAGGAAATTGACTTGACTCGTTTGACACTATGCCACGATGTACCAGGGGTCCATAATCCATGCCACCAACCATTTTTTTTTTTTTTTTTTTCTCCCAACTGAGCCATCCACCCTTGACCAGGGTATTGGCGATAATAACCAGAGAGTGTCTTTTCCCTTTTTTACCCTTAATCACACTAAAGCTACTCGCAACCTCCTTTTAAAAAGCGACCTCCATCAGGGTTAGTTTCGTCAATCAGCTTGACCAGTCTATCGCTTCTTTAAATTAATACGTTAAAATTAAGAACCCTAACCGAACTCCTTACCCATTCTTGCCATTCCTCGACACAAAATTCATCAAATTAGGGATTCCCGGATCGGAATTTGTTGCATTTACAGTCATGAGCACCGGGGATTTTCTCAACCTTCATCCTTCAGAACTCAAATTTCAATGTAAGTTGTTGGTTTTGATTTTGCTGTTATTAATGTTCTTTTTCTGTAATTTTAGATTTTGTACTTGCGATTTGTTTGATGTACTCTTGAGTTCTGTCGTGGAGTGTGCTACGCGTTTCAGTTCGATCATGTTACTCGTGATTTCTTGCTAACTGAATAGAAGTGTGATTTAAGAGTTGTTTGTTGATTCGTTTTAGGGTTTTTGGTTTAGCGTCTGTTAGCGTTTTTTAGTTTTTATCAAAGAATAAGTGTTGAATCACAAGTCAACTACAAGTCTACAAGACTTCATAATCGAGCAGTCTAATCCATGAACAAGAGTAGATAGGAAGACCGATAAAAATAATAGCTTTCTTCAATGAACAAGTCTACAATCAAAGCATCGGTTTTCTTGTGAATCCTGCTCAATTCTGAAGATTTTTTTGGTGACTTGTAGATCAACTCACTAATGTAAATTTTAGATTATTGCTTGCATTCTTCTATTACACATAATTTTATCTCTGTTCTTTGCTATACTCCTATGCCCCTCTATGTTAAAAAAAAAAAAACAAAAATTGATTCATTTTTATTTGTGATAGTTGAGTTGAAGAAGCAGAGCTCATGTTCCTTACAGTTGACCAACAAGACTGATCAATATATCGCCTTCAAGGTACCTGATTGGTACTTAAATTTCTTCAATAACTATTAACTTATTGTCTTCCATAAAGTTTGACAAGCTTCTGTAATTTTATCATGTGGTTGAAGGTTAAAACAACAAACCCCAAAAAGTATTGTGTTCGTCCAAACACTGGAATTGTATTACCAAGATCAGTTTGTAATGTCACAGGTAACAAATCTTACCATATAACCTATGTGGGACAATTAATGACTTCATAAAAATTTTGACTTTTTGTAGTTACAATGCAAGCACAGAAAGAGACACCTTCTGACATGCAGTGCAAAGACAAGTTTCTCTTGCAAGCTGTTATTGCACCTATTGGGGCAACTAATAAGGACATAACTGCCAACATGGTGACTCATCTTTTCATGAACTTTAGTTTTTAGTGCAAAGTTATGTGGTAGATAAGTAGATTATCTGATTATGAATTGAAAACTAAAACTATCTGTGTTTTTATTTTTTGTAGTTCAATAAAGAGGAGAACAAGGTTGTTGAGGAGTTTAAATTGAGGGTTGTATACATTCCTGCTAATCCTCCATCACCTGTCCCAGAGGAATCTGAAGAAGGTTCTTCCCCGAGGGGCGAAGATGGAAGTCAAAATTCTTCATGGCCTGATGTTGTAAGCAATTTTTGTTTTCTCTTTTGTTTTTGCTAATATAACTTTTCATTCAATCGTTTCCAAAAGCTTAATTTGATTGTATGAATGTAGACAACAAGATCCGTGGATCCCAAAGAGAAGCTCTCTGCAGAGGTGATTGTGTATTTCTTCTCAGAAGCCTATTTTGTTTTTGTATTCTATAAAATGCTTAGTTTATTGTTTTTTTATTCTGTAAAACCTATTTTCAAAGAACAGAAAAAGAATTATGACTCATGAAACAATTTCTTTATTTTCTTGATTCGGTGTTGAATATTATGAGTTTTTGTCAAATCCCTAAAATGACCCTTAACAAAGAAAGCAATATTATGGATCTTAACAAGCATGATAGCATGAATGCATCTGTAGGGATTAGGGGATTTCTTTATGATTAATGTAACAAGGGTATTATTGTAATATATGCTGCAGTTGGTTTCTATGGTATCAAGGTTGACCGATGAAAAAACAGCTGCTCTTAAACAAAGTCAGAAGCTCCAACAGGAACTGGTATGTCTTTTTGCATCTGATAACCTACTTTATAGACAATTTACAAAGTTGGTCCCTGTACTATACTATGATTTGTAAGTTTAGTCCGTTCTTTGAAATCTTCCCAAAGGCTTCATTTAGTTCCCAGAAATTAGACCAAACTTGTGGTTTTGAGTAAAGTGAAGGGACTGAATTTGTAATTTACTCTTATTTATATGGTTCTAAAATAACAGATATATGAATTTTGTTATGTTGTTTTTGAATTAAAAATAGGAGTTGATGAGAAAACAAACTGTGAAAAATCAATCAGGCGGCTATTCGATATTATTTCTGGTGGTGGTGGGTATAATAAGTGTTGTGGTTGGGTACCTTATCAAGCAGACATAGAGAAGAAGCAATGGGAAAATTGTGGATTTGTTTTTATTTATTTTAGATGCAAATTCTCATGGTTTTTCTGCAAAGATTATCAAACCCTTTGTTTATTTTAGAGTACATTTTATTTTTTAATTTAAGACCATGATCAGTTGCAGCTACAACTAATTTTATGAATATTATGAGATATGTTTCTTGATCAAGACAAAACGACTTATTGGGTTAAGTAAAAAAAAAAAACACTGCCTAAATTTGTAGAATATTGTTATACTCGGTATTATTTTTTAACATTACGATAAATTTCTTAGCACATGAGTAAGCATAAGACACATAAATATATTTTTTTTTTGTCAATTGAGCTACTCATTTTTATACATAAAGATCATTGTCCGAAAGCCCATAATTATATACCAAATTTCTTCTTGAATAAATCCATAGTATCATAGTAATTCCCAGACATGGCACAATAGATGATGTATTTGAACATCTCTGCAAATTTCTTTTCCACGTTCGTTCCCAACTGAGCAGAAATCCAATCTATGTAATCATTCTGTCATTAGGATTTAGGTGTCAAGATGTTATGTACATACTATTAGCATTTAAGTTAAGGATGTATATAAAAATAATAGGTTTAGAAAGACCTCAATTTCAAAAAAATGTGTGTAAGCTTTAGGAAATCCATCATCTTCTATATCTCCATGATGTTCTTCGATGTCTCTCAACATTTGATCTTTTGATGGCAATGATATCTTCATTGACAATGTCTTTGCTATCCATTTTGATTGACACTCGACTATTAGAAATGTAAGACTCTACTTGAAATTAGGAAACCATGTTAGTTATATGTGCTTTACATGATCAACGATATGAAATGAAAAGGAAAATATCTACAATATACTTACCCTTTCGGGTAGTCCAACAAAAGATAGTCTTGGAGCTAGTTGTGGGGGGAAAGCATGTTTGTAGAGAGGTCCAATGCGTTTTTCTTGTACACTCACAATGCCATTAGTCTTAAGAAATGGAACATGACATTTGTACCTAAAATGTGAAGCCTATATGTTTAGAACATATCCAACCTCACACACAATTCCATTTTTTGTACTCTTTTTATATCATTTTGGTATAAAGAAATAATATAAAACCAAATTTGAAATTGAATTGTCTTTTGACACCATAATGGTAGAAAATTTCATGTGTCAATTTTGGTCCTTCAAATTTTAGGTTTGCATATTTGTAGCTTATTCAGTTGTATTGTTATAGTTTAAATGTAACAACTACTTGTTATAATATCTAGGGTATATGTTAAATTAATTCAAACTAATAATCTATTTGGTTTAACTATATGATAATATGATTTATAAAGTCATTGTGACAAAAAAAGATGTAAGATAAATGTGTAGAAAGATGATAAACATAAAGGATGTTTTAGAAAAAAGTTATAAGTCTCAAACAAATAATATATTAAGAGTATACTTTTTGTATAAAAATGATATACAAGATGAAACAATATTTGTATAATCTTGGAGCAAAAATGTCAACTTCCTAGAGACAGAAGAGACAGTGGATAATTAGGAACTGCATATTGCATATCAATTAAAGTACTTGGTGAATTAATAAAACCAACGTGACCCCTATTCTAATAAAAATACTAAAGGCCCTTACCGAAGATTCAAAGGGAGGACACTAATATAAAGTTAGAAGATCTTCTGCTGGGTGAAAGTCTTCTTTGGATCTTTCCGGTTCTATTTCTTTTTCATCAATCGAGGCGAGAGTGATGAAACAATACTTTTACAAATTTGGAGGTGGAGACGACCTTATCTTTAACTGCTAATAATATTTTCTAAACTTTGTTAAGGACATGTCATCCTAAGTTGAAGTTTGTGAGTTTTGAACCGGAAACTCCAATATATATATATATATATATATATATATATATATATATATATATATATATAATTATATATATATATATATATATATATATATATATATATATATATATATATATATATATATATATATATATATATATATATATATATATATATATATATATATATATATATATATATATATGGGAAAATGGAATATACATTACAGACCCACCTAAGCTTAGATACTAAACCTCTTGAAAATAAATTGTTTTACTATATAAAGATTACGGTTAATGGATTTACGATTAATATTTCAAGATGTAAATTCAAGATCGACACAGTAAGGTTTAGGGTTTAGCGTTTAGGTTTAGGTTTAGGTTTAGGTTTGGGGTTTAGGGTTTAGGTTTAGGGTTTAGATTTTAGGTTTAGGGTTTAGGGTTTAAATTTAGGGTTTAGAGTTTAGGTTTAGGGTTTAGTAATGTTCACTTAGGTGAAGTAATAAACGATAATTGAAGAAAGAAAACAGAGGTGGTAAAACGATAATGAAAGAAAGAAATGTTATGGAGAGTGATATATTTACCAAGTGAAACCAAACCGGGTGTATTTAGCATGATAAAACAACATATTTTAAAGGTTTAGTACCTAAGTTTAGGTGAGACTGTAATGTATATTCCCTATCCCATATATATATATATATATATATATATATATATATATATATATATATATATATATATATATATATATATATATATATATAGAGAGAGAGAGAGAGAGAGAGAGAGAGTCATACCCAGTGCAATGAAATATGATATGTGCATCAATTGATAATCCATCTTCAAATGTAATTATACCATCCTGGTTGATACAATCTATCTGTCAAATAAAAATAGAAAAAATTTGTATTTGTCATGTTTATATATCTTTATAGTATAAGAGACAAAGTTTAGAATCATTATAAATTACATATGAAAATTCATTTAAATGCATATATACAAGAGCAATGCAAAACACGCCACTTCCGCAACCTTATTTGCCCCCTTTTTGAAGCCAAGTTTGCTTCCTCACTCAAGTTGCTTCACCAACCAAAAAGGCTGCTTCCGAAGCCTCAATCGATGCTGCTGCTTCTACTAAAATTTTCAGTTTTCTCAAATATATTTGGTTCAAGACCTCTACTAAAATCACCCATTTTGATTTGAAGTATAGACAAAAGACATAATACTTTAAATTGCGCATTTAGTCATTCTAATAAAGAGTAATCATATACTTTAAATTACCTTAGCATGCTGCCAGATATTGCTGAACTTCTCCAATTTCGAGACTTTAACATGAGGAGATCTTGATGACATGTGAACTTCTTTGGCAACCGTTGCTATTTCTCTTGACAAGTCCAATGCACTTGGCCCATTCCCAATTACAACTACAATCTTTTCATGTTTTTAAATTACATGTTTGTTAAATTAAATATTCTCTTTTGAACCTAAAACACGACTTACACGAGTTTATTTAGTTGATATAAGCTGCTAAATCTTTTTAAATTATATAATTTGAAAACACTCTTAAATACATAGATGAAATGTTTAATAATAACATGTTTGTATTTCATAGTATTTTCTTATTACTAACCTGATCTCGAAATGGCTCAGGAACACGATAGTTGTGACTATGCATTTGCTTCTTAGACCATGTTTCGATACCTGTATCATTTTTGAAAAATATATAAAAACTTTAATGAATTTAATAATATATAATGGAAGCTTCTGTTCTAAAGGAATCAACTAAAGGCTGCCGAGATTCAAATATTTGTATGTAAAGTTAACGTCTAAACTCAATTGTGCTACACCTTATGTGGTGGATGGATTCTTTCAATTCCTTTCACTTTTTTGCTATAAGATGGCAACCTCATTTTCCCCCACCTTCCTTTACCGATAGAAAATGATTATATCTTATTATTATTTTTTAATTATATTAAAATGTAATTTAATAATTATATAAATATTTAAAATAATAAAAGAGGAAGATTCCATTAAGTTAATTAAAAACCATTAAATAGTTAAAAATGACAATATTTTGAATTAGATTTGTTGAAGCACTTGCGTGTGACTTGTTTCAACCAGATCTTGGAGTGAGATTTTGATGGGAGAGTTGTTTAGATTCATTTTAGTAGTAGAAAAAATAGTGTTGTGTGTGAAATGAACGGTAAAAAGCTTATTAGTTTTGTGAAATAAAATATTTGATAGTATGGTATTTATAATGGTCAGTTAAAAAAAAATAGCCATTGGAAAGAAAAAGAATAGCATGCCGTGTAACTTCGTCACACGTTTCTATTCACCAAACTACCCCATAAACCAGGCGGTGTGGTGTTCACAACACCACCACGGTGACATCTCATCCCACTGTGGTGTGCTCTTAAGGTATTCCGACCAGCCTTAGCATGAAGTTAGCACTTGACATTGTATCTAAGAAGATGAGTATCTATTTACCTTAGTTAAATTTTAATATTTAAAAAAGAATTGATATATTGGTTGTTACATGTAAAACATATTAAATTGTGTGTCATGACTTCATGAGATAACATTTGTAAATCATGTATTTATCATTGTTTTAAAATTTTGTTCGAATTTGCCAGGCCGAGGACAAGAGCATTTCAACGACTGGTTTTATGTTAAGTTTTAGACTGGATTGAACTGGACGGTTTCTTTAAAAACCGAGTTGAATCGGTGTGATAAAATTGGTAAAAAAACATGTGAACCGGTTTACTAGACTTAGATAGTTGGATTTCACTCTGCCTATTAAAAAAAACAATCAATTTCCCTAGAAAATTGAATAGCTCAATCGATTAAGTTATCTGAATTGTACACAACTCGAAAACCGATGTATACCACTACGAGATGTAAAGTGACAGTCGGTTGAACCGATCATCAGACTGATTCAACTAAAAAAATGGCTTTTAAACATTGGTATTTATAGTCCCTTCTAGTTTTAATTGCGAATTGTCTTTTAAAAACATATAGATTTTATTGTATGAAAATTTCCAAAATAGAAATATATTATAATAAAAAATACATTTCAGATAAGATAGACCTGGAATATCAAATGCAGGCCGAGGTTCACTATTGTGACCGTTACAGATAACCACCGCATCAAACACCTCCACTGTATTCACCCCATTTGTCTTCGACTCCACCTCAAACTCGATGATCTCCGAGTCGACCAATTCCACTCGGGTCACCACAGTATTGAAACGAATCAACTCAGTGAGTTCAAAGTAACCTGCAAATTCTTCCAAGAACTTTAGAACTTCTTCGTGTCCAGGAAACAACCTCTCATCGCCATATGTTTTATCGCTGAGTTTGAAATCAGTGAAGCTCATGAGCTGACGTGGAAGATTCGTCCGCAGTGATTTGTAAAGAGATCCATGAATGATTTCTCTGTTTGGGTCAAGTCCTAAGAGATCTGACTCGAATCGTGGATCGTAGACCCAAGTTCCTCCAAGTCGGTGTGACTTTTCAAACACCACAACTTGGTGGGACTCTCTTTGAAGCTCACGGGCGGCGATTATTCCGGAAACACCGGCACCAATGACGGCCACCTTTAAAGAAGTTGCCATGGCTGATAGCTTTCCTCGCTTTTCTGGTAGAAACATATATGATGGAGCAGGTGGGAGGTTTATGTGAAGTTTTCATGGTCAACGATCAAGAACCTTTTCTATATTTTAAAAAAAAAAAAAAAAAAACAAATTATGGAAAATCGAATTTTATTTTAAAGAAAATTACCATATTAGCGATTTTTATTTTTTTTACCATTAAATAGTCTGTAAAGAAAACCCAAATAATCACAATTTTCGCAAATGCAAAAATATGTTTGTCGTGATATAACTCCACCTAAGATTAGCTATTAAACACTATGAAACTACATCATTTTATTAGATAAAAACTGCGATTAGGGGATTCACAATTAACACTTTAAGTTGCTGTTTCCGATGACAGCTAACCGTCACCATCCTTCTTCACTCCTCCCGTTAGCCGTTGCCGTTAGCCACCGTTGTGGCCGCTAGGGTTGCTGCTGTCGTCATCATGCATCACCAAGTGGTGGCTGCGTCCAGATCTCCGAGCTAGGGCGTGAAGATGTGGGTTGTGTAGTCATTCCTCCTTTGGTGTGGTTGCTTGACCGGGAACCAGAGAGAAACCACCGCCACCACCGTGAGGTGGTGAATGCCATCACAAAACAGTCGTTGCTGCTGCCGTGAGCCGCCAGGTGGGTGGCTGGGTCCTTTGTATAAATCATAATCGTGTGTGTGTGTTGAAGGTTGTGTTTGATGGTTGGAAAACGGAACAGATACCCACCATGGCCGTTAGCCATGGTGGCTACCACCATGTATCACCATCGGCCACCACAAGGGTGGATGTGTGTGTGTGTGTGTTTATCTTAGTTGTATGTGTGTGTGTGTGTGTCTTATTTTGGGATTTTGGCATTATAAATTGTAATTAGTGACTACTATTATCAAGAAAACCCACAACCACCATCATGAGGTGGTGGCTGCCGCCTTTCCACCGCCACCAACCGCCGTGTTGGGTGGCGGTGTGCTTTTGCTTGTGTTTAGCTTGCTTTTGGATGCTTGGACATAATGGGACTAGAACCACAACCACCACCGTGAGGTGGTGGCCGTCGCCGTGAGCCGTCATTGACCACCACTACCCCGAGGTGGTAGTGGGTGGTACCCGACTTATGAAACACTAATGAAACCCTAATGGGTCTAATAAAACCCTAATTGATCTAAAGACTTAGTTTTTGGGCCTATTGGGATGTGATTGGGTTGGAAACCCTAATCAGGGTTTAGAAAACCCTAATTTTGGATATATGGGCTCTGGATTGTCGGGACCTGCATTTTGGACAACCAGATTAGGATTATGTATTAAGCCCTACCACACCATATGATTTACCTAGTAGAGTGATGGACTTAATGGATTAAATCCTTAATAGGTTAAGTAGGGGCACTTAACCCTAATCATCATTTCATGTAAGAAACCCTAATTTTAAATTGGGCCTTGAGTTGGGGCTTTCTATTGGGCTTTGATGATTGGGCTACTGATGGGCCATCCAGGAATAATCATATGGACTAGAATATTTAGATGGGCTTGAGGGTAAGGGCCATATGAGGGTTGGGCCCAATTTCGAAAATTAGGCCATAATTTGGGCCTTGATGATTATGAGAAGTTGGACATTGGAATGCCAAATGTTTGGATTGGACTAGATGGTTAGGCCTTAGGGGAAGACAATGTAGAGGTTTGGGACCCATTTGGAAAATTGGGCCATATGTTAGGCTTTGACTCATAGTTGACTTTTGGGCCTTTGGATTAGGTCATGGGCTTGAATCAAGCTAAGATGGGGTAAAGTAGCCTTATACCCAAGCATGGACTTATGGTTATGTGTTGGAACCCAATTATTAATTGGGTATTATATTGATGTTGACAGTTTGGGAATTTATCATCCAATAGCTAGGGTTTTGTCTGTGGGACTTCAGCAGTGCGAGGTGAGTTACCATCCAGTAGAAGTGGGGCTAAGGCCACAATACCGGCCCCACTAGCACAAGTTGTTTGTTAGATGATTATCTTTGTGATAATTGTTTGGTATTCCATTATCTGTTATGTTTTATGTGCTAGTAGGGTATGATGTTATGTGATAGTGGTAGTAAGGGGAATAGTCCTCGTATCAGGTCGAAAGGAACAAAGGGGTAGGTCGGGCACCCCGGTATGCCTGGCAGTATGTTTATGTTATGTTATATTATTATGTGGTAGTGGTAGGAGTGAAATAGTCCCCATAACCGGTTGAGATACACCGGAGGGTAGGTTGAGCACCCCAGTATGCTCAGCAGGGTAGGTCGATGTAACGCCTGTGTTTTTGGGCTTGCCATTTTTAGCAATGTGATAGTCTAGGTTAAACCTTTGTAACCCGTTTTGAAATAATATAAGTGTATTATTTGAGTATTATGTGTTTTGTGCTTAATTGCTTAATTATGTGGTTTGATTAATTAAGAATAAAAACAAGCATCAAAATTTAAGTGTAAAATAATCTTGATATCTTTAGATAATGTTGTAGTAGTTGAAACAAGGTTTCCGAGGATATAAAGAATGCCGAAATCCAAGTTATAACGAAGAAGTTATGACCTGTCAAAGTTTCGCGACAGAACCGACATCGCTGAATAACGTAAAAAGTGAAATTTACGTTAGAGCGATATTTAGCCTTAGTGATCTAAACGAGAACCGAAGATCTCTTTGTTAGTATCAAAGCGATAAAAAGTTAGGCAAGAACGGACGTCAAACGAAGAAGTTATGAATTTATAATGAAAATTTCTATCCCGGCCTATTAAAAATAAATAATAAAAATAAATTCAAAATTAGCTGACGAAGTCTAAACGAAAGTTGTAGAACGTAGTCTCACCTTCGCGTGGATATAAAGAACGTCGAAAATGGAGTTCGTATGAAGAAGATATGAATTTCCGAAGTTTATTAAATAGTTTGTATTTAATTTTAATTGGAAAATCCGGCCTTATCCGAAGGTGAGTCACCGGACTCATCCGGAGTACGCCCCGCGTACAGCGAAGTTGTCGACATTCGCACTCGAGGACTTCGGATGACGAACGCAGTGATGATTTCGGACCTGTACGCCCCGCGTACTCTGAGGCTCCAGCCTCCTATAAATAGGATGCGAGGCTGCCGAGTTTCTTTGCTATTTTTCTCCATTCTCTCTCCCGTTTTGCCTCGATTTGCGTGCCAGAAATACCCTGAAGCCCCGTTATCATTCCCGAGTCCCGAAGCAAGTCCCGAGATCCCGAAGATCCCGAGAAGTGCGGTTTCCGAGCCGAAGCTCTGCCCGCGAGAAGTTCGATTTTTGTAGAGATCTTCCAGATCTGCTGAGGATTACTACTTCTGCAAGCCGTAGTGCTGTCTGATCATCTTCTGATCAAGTGAGTGTGTAGTTACTTTCTTCTAACGCATAATTATGAAGTATTTTATACGAAATACGTGTTATGTGTATAGTTTTGTTGTTATGTACGTGAATGTATCTTCACTCTCTTCAATCTCATAGATCTGATTTGTTTTCTATGAAATACGTGTTATGTGGGTATGCCTCATCTGTTATGTGAAATATGTAATGGATGAAAATGTTATACAAGTTTTAAACTATGTATAAAAATATATATTTTTATCTACTAATATGTTGGGTAGAACATGAGTAGATAGTTGGTGTGTAATAAACAGATGAGAGGCCTCGATGTTGTTGTTGTTGACCTAGTTATTCAGCGGAGTATGGATAACGATCACAGACTCCTTCTAGACAGTCTCGTGGAACGCTAGCAGGTTCATAACCTGTAGGTGTTGTGAACGATGTGTTCACCGGTGTACTCTATCCCCCTCATTGTTGCCTTCAGGATATCTATTGTTGAGGAAACCTCTTAGCAGTAATGTCCGTCCCGATAAATATCCTAGATTAGGTCCCTTGAGATAGATGTTGTTTCAGGGACGTAAAGTGAGGATAACGGGAATGGGTAATCGGGATAGTGATTGGTTGGTGAAATTAAATATAATTTATTTATTGTGGGCTGAAAACCCTATATGCTCACCAGGCTCCCAAGCCTGACTCACTCAGTTTTATTTGTATTACAGGAAGTGGCGCAAGAGCGTAAGATGGATGAACCATCACGTTGTTTTGTTTACAAGTTTGTATATGTATATATTTGTTGAATGACTTGTAATGTTATTGTTTATGCTTAATGGTCTGTATCGGAACATGACACCCCGAGTTTTGATTATATAATGAAAATACATTTCTTTTATGAAATGCTTTGGTAAACATTGTTTTATCATGTTTTGTTTTTGGGAACAAATTACGCAACTCTTCCAAATCAAAAGGATTTACTCTGAAATTATTTTAAAAGCATAAATGAAAATCGGTCTTTTCTGGCCGAGATTTCGGGGATGTCACAGTTGAGCACCCAGATATGCTTGACACGGTGGGTCGGGCACCCAGATATGCTTGACAGGGTAATCCGAGCACCCAGATAAGCCTGACAGTATGTGATTTGTATGGTATGTGGTATGATGAGGGAACTCACTAAGCTTCGTGCTTATGGTTTTTAGTTTTGGTTTCAGGTACTTCGTTTTCAAAGGAATGGAGCCGGCTCGATCGCAATGCATCACATTATGTTTTCCGCACATGAGATCTTTGGGAGTTCGCTCTGATATTATTTTATGATAACATGTTTTGATTATTGACACTTTGGTTTTGACATGGAACGTTATTATGGATGTTTTCTTGTACTGTTGGTTTTTATAATAACTTAATTAAAATGAAATTTTTGGTCTTGAATTTTGGGATGTTACAAGTTGGTATCATAGCTTTGGTTTGAGGGATTCGGGCACACACTCGGGTGTGTCTGGACTCAAACTGAGGACTTGGTATGAAAATTTTTCAAAAGAAAAAAAATCATTTTATAAAAAGAATTTTGAAAAGAATTTAGAAAGAGAAAAAGAACTTTAAAAAGAACAAGGTGTGTGATGCGTGCAATCAACCGAGCTCAAGTAAGTTTTCCCCAAGATACCCATACATGTTACGGTATGATTGTTGGATTAGTGTCTAAGTCCATAACTATATTTGGTATGTACTTGACCCGGTTGTGCATGATCCTTTTGGGTTGCATTCACCAAAGCAACTTAACTGGATGAATAATAGAGAAAGAGATTATTATGGTTTATTAATGTATTATAAGAATAATATATTAAAAGAGAAATCATATTTATTTAATTAACATTGGTCAAAAATTAATTAAGAATTAATTTTGTGGTCAAAAG